GGGGGGGGGGGGGGGGGTTTATTAAACTGTTTTTACCAAATGAGACATCTCCAGGCTATTCCTCTAATCGTAGTTAAAGCATCTAATCCATTTTCTGATCATCTGGTGTTTGAGCTCTTGTTTTTGACAGTCCCTCTGTGCCTGTAGTCCTTTCTATATCATAGCTTCAGTCTTACAGTTTCTGCGTCATTGCCATGCCTTTTAAATCCAGTTTTTTATCTAGTGCACAACAACAGCAGAGTTAGACTGTAATCAAGGTTTTGAAATCCATTTGACTGGAGATATACACACGCCTAGCAATGTGACCAAGTTAGCATTAATGCCCTTATGGAAAGTGCGTGATTTAAGACTCAGCCATTTGATTTCAGGCATTTTGCCCATAGTGCACTGTAACCACTTCCTGTGGTTGTCCAGATGGGATGATTAAACAGAGGCATGTTATGAATACATGGCTGCCCCCAGAACTAATTAACCGTCACACATTTGACTGGCCAGTGCTTGGAATCCAAATTTTTCGTGCCGACACGGTCTCACTGGGTTTCATACAAATGTCAAATTAACTTGTGTAACTAGCTTCTCACAAGTGTTTCAGTTTTAAAAAGTGTATTTCACACTTGGATTTGTCTTAAATTTTCCAGAAATACATTTTAAGCCTGCTAGCTTTCAGAGAGCCTGTTTTCCCTTCCTTCAGTGAGCACATATGCAAATTTGAAGTTTTATCAGCTTTTACATTAAAAACCATTATTGAAACAAGGTTCTTAACTTTAAGTGTCTGCAGTATGTGCGGGATATTTCTATGTTCTCATGTAGACAGCAAAGGTTAGACAACTTGATTTGTGGGTTCAATAAACTGGTTGGATGACTATCATTCAGCTAGCATGCTCTTTATTTAAATGTGTGCTGCTTTTAGGTTAATGGAAAAGAACCAGATGATGAAAATCTCAATAAATCTGAAATAAGCCAAGTTTTTGAGATTGCACTTAAAAGGAACTTGCCTGTGAATTTTGAGGTATGTTTATTTTACAAGCTCTAGAGTTATATTTTGTTAGAATATTGAGGATACTAAGATAAAATGATCTAAAGCAACTTACTTAGACAAGAACAACTGACTTTTAAAACTGCATGTTAGTTGTGAATATGCTTTTATCCAAATGAGTTTCAAACTGATCATCCCAGAGCTAAATGGTTTAAAAGGGGGTGGGGGGGGGGAAGACCACTTCTACCCCAGAATTGGCAGGCCATGCAAATCATAGCACACATGAGTAGCTCTATGTGCTATTGTACCAGGCTCTTTGAAAATTTAACGTAAGATCCTTTCAGTATTGAATGAGGCTTTACTTTAAATCACATGTACAGTTAGAAGAGTGAAAACAAAATTCACATGGGGAAAGAGCTTAAAGAGTCTCTCTATCATTGCATAATTGAGCACTGATGTGAATTATATGCAAGGTATAATTCAGAACCCCACAAGCAGGTTTCCCTTCTTGACTAGGAAGTGGGACTGTATAACATATATTAATCCTCAAGTGTCATCATGGGTTTCCAGTTACTCAAAATTGCCCTTCTGGTTTTCAGAACAAACTCTTTGGTCTCATTCACTTACATTCCTCTCCTTTATGTTGTCTTGGATGACAGCTGCTTCCTGCCCCCTTCTGACCATCTTAGTTATCTTTTAATTTGCTACGTACCAGAGGAACATCCTTGTTGCACTGAAGTATTAGTTTATTCTGTTGCTATTTTTGCTGACATGGGTTACTTCACTAAATTGACTTCTAATCTGTTTCATGAACACTTAAATTGTTACATTTTCAGTATTCTTAAAAGTTTGGCACAGACTTGATTTTATTTTTTTTAAAGAAACCTATTTGGAAAGTGCCAGTTGCCAGTGATCTTAATTTGTACTAACATTTGTTGTCAAGCTTTGTTCTATGAGTTAATATTTGGGCATTTGGTGGCTTTAATATGTGATCGCAAATAGACGACAAGCCTATTTTGGAGCTTGTAGTTTGAAGGCAGTGCTGCCTCCAGTGTCTGTACTTCTGAACTCAGACTCTAGGTCCCAAAGATTTGCTTTGTCTGTACTGATCGAATCACTGCAATATGAATCATTGGGTGGAGATGTACACCCAAAAACAAAGTTAATACTCCCTTCTGAAAGAGTAAAACAGTAAATGAAACATGCTAAAGACCATTAATTCATAAAATGTAAGTTATACTTCCTGCTTGCTGTGCATGCACTTTTTCTAGGTAGAATTATTTAACAAATTTTGCGTGGGTGGGATGATATTATGCTTAGTGGTCATGTTGTTATTAAATAGCCTCTTCCTGGATCATTTCAGGAATGCTATCTCATACAAATTCCCCATTGCCCCTAGTTCTTGTGAATGAAGTTTGCTATAAACATTGTGCCCTACCATTTTTAATAAGTGTTTATCACGCTTTCACTCAGTTTTTCCCTCTGAAACAGGTGACCAAGGAAAGTGGTCCTCCCCACATGAAGAGCTTTGTAACCAAGGTGTCGGTTGGGGAATTTATGGGCGAAGGTGAAGGAAAAAGCAAGAAGATCTCTAAGAAAAATGCCGCAATAGCAGTCCTAGAAGAACTGAAAAAACTGCCCCCCCTTCCTACGGTTGAGAAAATGAAGCCACGAATCAAAAAGAAAACAAAATCAATAGTGAAAGTAAGAAATACCTCCCTTTTGGACTGAAATTTCGTTGCTGAAAAATGTCATAATGTGTGGAACATTCCCAAAATTGTTGTAAATGCACTTTTCACATGCTGAAAGTTAACCAGCAGTCTGGTACTACAACTGATATATTAGTTATTCACCATCCTCAGTTAATAGAGCTCACTACTGTAGTAGCAAGGTAGCAGTTTATATTGACTTCCAGATGAATGAGAAAATATTTGCACATATGCTGTATAAACTACTAGACTAGTTTTCAAGCTTAAGGAAACCAATTTATGGGTTTCTTGCAGTTATGCCACCTCCATCCAAATCTTTACCTTTAGCAGTAGTCTCCAAATGTTCAAAATAAGCTGAACTTTTGCTATTGGTAGCTTTATCTAAGAACATGATCAACTATGTTTTACTACTATTGCTTGGCTATTGGTATTGCTCTTACACCATAAACCAGGTTTTGGTGTTTTAGGGAACCTAATGCCTACAGTTGAATGAATGAATTAATTGGTACGCTACATTTGGAATTGCTGTACAATATTTGCAAATGTCAGCTTATTTTTTCAACATTGTTTCCACCTTAGCTGCAAACAAGCCCAGAATATGGCCAAGGAATGAATCCTATTAGCAGACTTGCTCAGATACAGCAGGCCAAAAAAGAAAAGGAGCCAGAGTATATGCTCATCACAGAACGTGGTCTTCCAAGGCGCAGGGAATTTGTTATGCAGGTTTGTATATTGATTTCCAATCTTTATATGTCTGTCTTTTAATTTATTTTTAGTTAGGGTTACCAGACCTTGACAAAGATATATGTTCTTAGTAGTACTGCATCTCCAAATGCATTGAGCTCATTAAGAAGAAAAATCTCCATCTGATTCCCTTGGAGCAGGATAAGGGCTCAAGAAGGCAAATTGTTCTTCCTAAGTCCTGTTAAAGAGCTAGTTGAGATGCTGGAAGGCAAATTTTTAAATACATCATGCTTGCATACATTTTTCTTAAACACAGAAGAATACTGCCAAATGATAAAAAGTGCTGTGTTTTTGTAATGTGTGGACATTGAAATGTAGAGGTTTAGATCTGTTCCACCAGCTTCTTTCTTTTTTAAAAAGCACTGTATTCCAAAATATCTTCCTGAATTGCAATATCAGGTAATGTGGCAGCATTTGTTTGGCACTGGTTGTAGCAACCTAGCGGTAGCTAGTGTTAAGATATCCTCCACCCCTCTTTTTTTGTGCTGAACAAGGCCGAAAGCTGCCACTGTGCAAAATAGTTTAAAATCTTACTGTCCTTTTATTGTCATGAAATTTGCATAGTTATAAACAATTGTATTACCTTGGTGCCTTATTTGAATATAGATTTCCTGGGCTGATGCATTTAAACTAATGCCCTGGAGAGATCAAGTACTAAGCTGATTATTCCACGTGTGTTTTGTTTCTTGTCCTGTGGAGCCTATGATTGGTTACAAATTTGTTCAGGACAATAAATCAATTCAGCCAAGTCTCTGATTGCTCTGGCCATATGGAGACAAAACAGTCATTTAATGAAAACGTTGTTTTTGTTTTCATGAGACTTTATTTGCTTTTTTCTTTGTCCATATTTATTTCAGGTGAAAGTTGGTGTGCACACAGCTGAAGGAATGGGCACAAACAAGAAAGTAGCTAAACGCAATGCAGCTGAAAACATGCTGGAGCTTTTAGGTTTCAAAGTCCCTCAACCTCAACCCCCTAAACCAGCATTAAAAACAGAAGAGAAGGTAACACATCTCTAATTGACTTTGCTCACCTGGTGTTTCAACAGAAACAATGACATGAGTAAATACAAAGTGGGTAAAAATCAGCATAATACAGTGGTGCTCATTCTTTTTGGCTGGTGGGCTGAATACAGCCGGTGCACCTAATGTAGCATCTGGGGACAGGTGTGGCCCCATCTGGCCATGCAGAGGGGAGTAGCCCAGCTGTTCCCATTGTGCAGGAGCAGGGGACTTGGCCTGGTCCAGATCCAGCCCTGTAGGGGAGGGGATGTCCCGATCCTGCAAGAGCAATGGGGTGTATCCTGCCCCCAACCTGGCCAGGAACAAGGAAGGGGGCATGGGAGAAGGGGAGGGGGAGAAAAGGGGGTGTGAGTTGGCCCTGAACTGGCTGCCCTGTATGGAGGGAAGGGGGTGTACCTGGCCCCAATCTGGTCATGTGGGGGGAGGGTTCTGGCCTGGTTCCTACCTGGTCCATGGGACTTAATTTTGGTGTTCCCCTGCTGCCAAAGTTCCTGACCCGTGGGGAGCCCTGTGGGATGTATTCCAAGCCTGGGTGGACCAAATTTGGCCCACGGGGTAGAGGTTGAGCACCCCTGGTATAGTAAGTCTACACTTCTCACTCTAGCCTGCTGGACAGGAGGCACTAGTTAATATGGCCACAGGAAATTTAAGGGATGCCAGTGAGTGCTGACTATATAGGATCCCAGGCTCCCTGGGGCAGTACTATATCTACTCCTGACTTCTGCAAGCAACCTGGCACCAGAGGGCCATGTGATGTGCTCAGTTTCTACAAAGAATGGGTCAGAGCTTGTGCAAGTAAAACCATTGTTTTTAGGACCTACATGTTGCCCGGCTTTTGTGTTGCCAGGCTTATGTCACACCCTGTGATAACGTTAATTTTATGTAACTTCTTATATTAGCCTGGATCTTTAAAATACTTTTTCTTAACTGAAGCTTGAGTTCTTCCCCCAGTTCACTTAGCAGACTTCAGCTTGGTGTTTAGAATTAAAAGAGTTTTATCTAACTTTCTCCTTTAATGCACCAGTTTTGCATATGTCAGTGTATCTCTAGGAGACGTAATCAGTATGTTAATTTAACTGGCCATTGCTCATTAAAGTTCCTTAATATAGGTCTAACAGATAACCTTTGTCATTTAAATTTCTTCAGAGGGAGTGCTAATCTTCCCTAAATATCGTAGAGGTTCAAAATTTGGCTTAATTCGAAACCATGAACCAGTGGACAGTTTGTTTGTTTTTTTTTAAAAATTTGTTTTGCCTAACCTGTAACATCCTCTCTCCAATAGGACTTCCTTTTGAAAGGGTGTATTAATCTCAGGCAGATTTTATGATTATAATACAACTTTTAAGTACCCACACTAAGCATTATTCTATCCCTGGTATAGCTTTACTTTTTACTCACTCAACAGAAGTATCCGGTTCTGAACTTGTGTTTCTTTATTGCTTTTTTTATGGTTGTTTTATAGTAATAAACCAAATGTAATTTAGGCAGCTTATTTGTATACATCACTTAGGTTCCTGCATAGTTATCTAAAAATTAAGATTTGTGTAAACCAGTGTTTCCCAAACCTTTTTTGGTTTCGGCGGCACGCTTACCAGGCCTCTCCCATCCTGTGGCACACCAGGTGAATGCAGGGGGTGTGTGCATCTGCACACAGTGCATGGAGGCAAATCAGTGTCTGGAGCCACGACCCCTGTCTGTCTGTCTGTCCACGGTGGCGACAGGTAGGGGGGTGAGGCTCCAGCCCAAAATTCCATGGCACAACTGGATGGGAAACACTGGTGTAAACCCCTCTGAATTCTTTTTTCTAAAGTTTTCTGACTTTTCACCTAGTTGAATAGTCTAGACCTTGAAAGCTTTGAGGAAAAGTTATTGATGTTTGGGGTTTTTTTTAGACGCCAGTAAAGAAACCAGGTGATGGAAGAAAAGTAACCTTCTTTGAACCAGGCTGTGAAGAAACTTCAAATAGTAAGTGAATTTACTGAAATGAATTTGGTCCTTTGTGCCTCAAGCTATTTAATAGTTGCATAGCTCCACTATGGTTATAGCCTTCCAGGTAAGCTTCTCTTAAATGACTCTCAGACCATAAAGTTGTCCTAGTCAAGTGGTCTCCTATGTGACTGGGCTAGAGTCTGCCTTGAGCTGCTTCATCTTCCACCTATTTAATTCACAGACATGTTCTTGACTAGGTGTTCAGAGTTGTTTTCACCCTCCCCCACAGTGTCCTTCCTTGCTTGTGGCCTCAGTTTCTGGTGTTCTTGGTTTAAGGCCTGTAATGATTTAATTCCACTTAATTTATTTTTTCTAAACTGATGCTGACCCCTGCCTTTTATCTTCTAATAAGCCTGCTTTTGTGTGTGTGTTTCTCTGGGAGCAGACTCTCTGCAAAAAGCCACTATTACCCTCCCGAAGTAACTGCTACTTTGGTGTCAACAAATTGGAATCAGTTGACAATGGCTAGACGCGTGGTAAAGGATAACTTCTGCTGCTTGTATCACATTTTTGCCTACTATACCACTTTCCCTCCCCCAGTAGTTCTCATGTACCTAGTGTTTTTTCATCATGGTCATTGATCCTCATGGTCGAGGATGATCACTCCCATGGGTCAAGTAAAGGGTTGTAGATGAGTTTGTTGATGGCTAAGAAGGCCAGTCCTAGAGCCACAGACTCTCTGGTAGACAACACAGATGGTGGTTAAAAGGAGGGTTGGACCATGGATTTCTTGGTCTTGTTTCCTTTCCTCCCATTTCAGTTGTTTTTCTGCCTCCAGGGCCAGATGGTTTTCCTCAAAGTAAAGTGAGGGAAACCATCCTTGTCCTTTTCTCACCAGGTGTCCTCATTGTAGCCCTGTCCTAAGCTAGTGTTTCCCAATTTGTAGTGTCAATGCTGTGAGGCTTAATGTTCACCTTTTGAGGGTGTCGTTGAGGCATTTCCTTTGGCCCCATGGCTGAGTTGGGATTATAGCAGTTGTTTTGGTAAATGTACATCAGACATGTGCACACAATGCCCTGTCTACCACAGCTGATGTTGAATAATCAGTGCTTCCATGCTTGTGGCATTGGTGAGGACACTGGCATTTGTGTCACAATTCTCCCACTTTATGCCAAGGAACTTCTAGAGGTAGCACTGGTGAAGGCGTTCCAGGCTTTTCGGGTGGTCCCTGTAGGTCACCCAAGCTTCACAGCCGTAGAGAAGAGTTGGGATTACTACAGCCTTGCATAATAGTTTCTTGTTTGAGTCCTGATATCATGATCATTGAACACACAATGTTACAGTCTTCCAAAAGCAGATCTTGCATGTTAGATCTTATACTGGATCTCCTTGTTGATGTTGGCCTTCTTGGAGAGAGGGCTGCTGAAGTATGCAAAGAGTTCAACATTCTCCAGCTCCTGTCCTTCAGAGGACTTTGCTGGGAGCGTTAATTGGAGCAGGCTAGTGAATCACCTGTGTTTTTTTTCCAATGTTAAGGGTCAGCCTCAGGCACTGGTATTCTTGAGAGAAGTAATTAAGGCCCATTTGTAGGTTGTCCTCAATATGTTCAATGACAGCACAATCTTTGGCATACTGAAGTTCCACAATCAGGGCTGATGTAACTTGGGTCTTGGCACGGAGGTGGGAAAAATGTAAAAAGGTTCCCATCCATCCTATACTCGATGCTGATGCCATGTGGCAGGCAGTCACAGGTTAGCATCTTGATGACCGAGAAAAATGGAAAACAGAATTGGTACGATCATGCAGCCCTGCTTGATGCCAGTTTGAATGGCAAAGAGCTCCACAGTGGAGCCACTGCATAGGATGGAGTCAGTCATCTGGTATTTCCCTGGGCAGCCAAACTTTGATTAGATCTTCCTAAGAGCCTCACAGTTAATAGAGTCGAAGGCTTTGGTCAAATCAGTAAAGGCCATATACAGTTCCTGATGTTGTTTGTGGCACTTCCTAGATCTGTCGAGCCACAAAAATAATGTCCATGGTGCCTCTTGACAATCTGATGGCATATTAAGACTCAGGAAGATTTTCCTTGGCAAGAGGGAGCAGTTGGTTCTGCAGAATTTGAGCGAGGATCTTTCCAGTGGTGGAAAAGAGGGCAGTACCTCAATAGTTTCCATAGTCAGATTGATTTTTTTCCTTTTTAAAAATAATGACAATATTGGCATTCCTCAGGTCAGTGAGAATTTCCACAGTGTTCCAGATATTAAGAAAGTGTGTGGAGCTTGTTGGTCATGGTTTCCCCACCAACTTTGAAGACCTCAGCTGGTATGCCGTCAGGGCTGGATGCTTTGTTTGTTCTTCATATGTCTTATCACTTTGTGGACTTCTTTAGGGGTTGGTGGACTGGTAAGTGCTTCCCTTACTGGATGCTGCAGGATAGATTTGACAGTTTCGTCTCATCAGTCACTGTCGGTTCTCAGTTTAGGAGCTCTTGGTAGTGCTGCTTCCAGCATTTTTTTGATAGACTCCTCTTTGAGAAGCGTACTGCTATCTTCAGATCTTAGTGGGCTGGCCCAAAAATTTGATCTACATGCAGCCTTGACTGTATTGAAGAAGCTCCGCATGGGATGAGTGTCAACTAATTGTTGGATTTCTTTCATTCTCTTCCTACCATTTGTTTCTGGTTTCTCCAGTCTTCTTCTGGGCTTCAGATTTAAGCCACTGAAAAGTTCCTGGCATCTGACTGGATGTAGGATGGTTTTGCCAGCCACAGAAAGCCTTTCTCTTCTAATCAAGAAGGGCTTTGATCTCAGCATTGTTTTCATCAAACCAATCTTGATGGCATCAGGTGAAAAAGTGAATTGATTCTGTACAAGCCTCATAGATGGTCTCTTTTAGACCTTACCAATCTTCTGCAATGCAAGTGTTATCATTTTCAATCTGAAGATTGGGGAATTTCTTACTGAGATGCGTTTGGAGGGCTTTGCGGTATCTAGGGGTTTGAAGGCATTTGATGTTGTACGGTCTTCAGACTGATTTGGCTTGCTTTCGATGTTACAACACAACTCTGGGCATGACTTGTCACTAAATGATGATCAGTCCAGTCATTGGCTCCTCTTGTGTGTGATATGGACATCTTTTAGATCACTTGCTTCTAGGATGACATAGTCAAGGAGATGCCACTCGAGTGGGTGCGTTGCCATGTTGTTTTATACCCATCGCATTGTCTGAAGATAGTGTTAATAATCACAAAGTCATGCTCTGCACATTTATTGAACAAAAAAATGCCATTGGAATTATTCTTGCCTACTCCTTCCTTCCCACGGGTGCCCCTCCACATGTTCAAGCCCCGGCCAACTCTTGCATTGAAGTCTCCACAAGGAGGATGATCTTGTCAACTTTCAGCTTGATAGAATTTCATAAAACTGTTCTTTGTATTCTTCCTAGGCATTGAGTGTTTGAGGCATATGCACTGATGATAGTAGCAAACGAATTGTTTGTCAGTTGAAGGCGGAGAATCATGAGACTCTTGCTAATGCCAGTGAGGGATGTAGTCGTTCATCTGACAATCTGGTTCTTAATGGCGAAACCAATGCCACATATTCACCTGTCATTTACAAGTTTACCTTTCCAGAAGAATGTATAGCTACCCCCTCCTTCTTCAGTTGGCCTTCACCTGCATGTCTGATCTTGTTGAGAGCAGAGAGACTGCAAGAATTCTCAAGTGACTACAGCTGTTCTGCATTCAGGTCTGTCACTGTTTGGGTCATCTAGTAGGGTTTGCACATTCCAGGGTGCAACAGACATTTACTTTTTGACCACACTTAGAGTGATTCCCCTGGAAGTGGCTATCCAGTCATGTAAGGTAAAGTGGGCCAGTCTGTTTGGAGCACCTTTTCTAGCCCCCTTCCCATGTGGGGTAAGCAGAGGGGATCCTAAAAAGGACTGCTCTGTCACAATCTCTGTGAAGTGACCATCATATGATCACCACCTGCACATGGATGCATGACTTGGGGACCTCCTGGTGATCGCTACTTTTGTCCCTGCCATCACTTGTCCATTGCCACAGGACTTTGTAGAATTTATGGGTGTTGGTATTGGTTATTGTAGTAAATGTTGGACCAGTGAGAAGCCTGCATGTGATCTGTTTTATGTGAGGAGTTTGTCACACATTGGCATCCGCACGGATCTTGGCAGATGAGAAACCTGTGTCAGTAGCAAGGAGATCCAAGATGGCTGGGTTTACTCTTCGACTGTCGCCTTCATCCACCTTTACAGCCATTGAGAAGTATGCTTGGTCCACTGTTGATGTCTGTGTCATATTGGACTGCTCTTCATCTGATACCTCACTGCCATGGGTGACCCTACCAGGAGTAGAAGACTCCTGACAGTGTTGCTCTTGGGGTCATCAGTACATGCAAGCTTCCCCACCCTATGAAAATGGCAGTCCATGGAGATGGTCTTTTCATAACCTCCATTTGTGAACTTATGACCAAGGCCTGTCACCTTACTATTAGGCTTATGTGAAAAGGGAAGTATTCAGTTCGGATTCAGAGGACAGTGATCGATTTGGGACGGTGATTTGATTTGGATCACTGTCCCAGATCAATTCAGCTGAATCTGTTTTGGAAGATTCAGCACTGATTTGGAGAGATTTGGTGATTTGGATTGGCCGGGGAGAGGCAGACACAGCTGGGCAGCTGCAGGTTCTCCCGCAGCTCCTCCGACTGTGCCCCGCTTTCTTTGGGGAAGGGGAGCTGCGGGAGAAGCCCTCATGGCTGCCCTGCCCAGCCCCAGCCTAGTCCCAACACCTTTATTAAAAAAAAACAAACAAAAAAAAGCCCTGCACTCACTAGCTGCAGCAGCGACGACCAGGGCCTCCAGGGGAGGGGTGTGGGGGGGGGGGCGTGCAATGCAGGCGCTGCTTGCTCTGGGTGGCAGCAGAGCATAGCCCCTGCTCCCAGCGCTGCCATGCCTGCATCAGTGCTGGGAGTGGGG